CCCAAAACAAATTCTGAACCTCACTGCCTCATCACCTATCTCCCCCTTACCTCCAACTTACCGTAGTGCACTGAAAGATCCAAACTGGCACGCTGCTATGTGTGATGAATATAATGCATTGATCAAGAATGAAACATGGGAATTAGTACCCCCTCCCCCACCCAAAATATAATCTCTGGTAAATGGCTCTTTAGACACAAACTTGGCCCATCAGGTGAGTTATCCAGGTACAAGGCCCGTTGGGTGGTCCGCAGCTTCAACCAGCGCTTTGGCGTCGATTACGACGAGACCTTCAGCCCCGTTGTCAAACCTGCTACAGTCCGCATCATTCTTAGCATTGCTCTGTCCAGAGGATGGCCCATTCACCAGCTAGACGTCAAAAATGCCTTCCTCCATGGTCAGCTACAGGAGACAGTTTACGCCAGTCAGCCTTCTGGGTTTCAGGATCCAGCTCGTCTTCACTATGTTTGTCGACTCAAGAAGGCTCTCTATGGACTCAAGCAGGCACCGCGATCGTGGTATCACAGGTTTGCCAGCTTCATTCAGACCATTGGGTTTCAAGGGTGCAAGTCAGACACATCACTGTTTGTCTTCTCTCATGTCATGGGCACTGCCTACCTACTCTTGTACGTTGATGATATTGTTCTCACAACATCTTGCACAACACTTCTCCAGCATCTCATCTAGCAGCTTAAGGCCGAATTTGCTATGACAGACATGGGGGACCTACATTTCTTCCTTGGCATCAACGTACACAGGACGACCAGTGGCCTCTTTCTCCACTAGACACAGTTCACTCATGACATACTTGAGCGGGCCGGGATGGTATCTTGTCGCCCCATCTCCACCCCAGTGGACACAAAGGCAAAGCTCTCCTCTTCATCAGGCACTCTGCTCCCCGATCCTACTCTTTATCAATCTATTGTTGGAGCTCTACAGTACCTTACATTCACTCGCCCTGACATCACTTATGCCGTCCAACAGCTTTGCCTACACCTTCATGCCCCTCGTGATGCTCATCTCACAGCCATGAAGCGTGTCCTGCGCTATCTTTGTGGCACCTCCACCCATGGCATCCACCTGGCTCGATCCTCCACCGACTCCCTGCAGGCATACTCCGACGCTGACTGAGCCGGTTGCCCAGACACCCGACGTTCCACCTCTGGATACTATGTTTTTCTCGGTGACAATCTAGTCTCCTGGTCCTCCAAGCGCCCGGCTACCACTTCTCGTTCCAGCGCCGAAGCCGAGTATCGCGCCATGGCCAACGCCGTAGCAGAGACGAGTTGGATCCGGAATCTTCTTCTTGAGCTGCAGCAACCCCTTCGACGTGCCACCCTTGTTTTTTGCGACAACGTCAGTGCTGTGTATCTCTCGACAAATCCTGTGCAGCACCAGCGCACCAAGCACGTGGAAGTTGATATTCACTTTGTCCGTGACAAAGTAGCACTAGGCCATGTACGCGTTCTCCACGTTCCCTCGTCTTCGCAGTATGCTGACATCTTCACTAAGGGACTACCTTCTTTATTATTTCTGGACTTCAGACAAAGCTTGGGAATCAGACCTCCTCCACATCCGACGTAGCCGGGAGCATGTTAAATATATTGTATATATTTAATATATTGTATTATTCCCTTACCTTATTTGTATAGGTTTCCTTGTGTCTCTCCTACCTTGATTAGGATTGAGACTCCCCTTATATATATACATGTAATCACAACTCTTTTGATCAATGAAAATCATAATTCTTCAAATAGAAAACACATAATTTTTTATTAAAGTTACAAAATGAGTAATTATAACTAATAAAAATGTAATAGCAAAAAGTAAATATCAACACATACTCTAAAAATGACATGACATGTCGACGTGTCAAAAAATAACCAAGTGTGTTGCCACTTGTCGAACTCTAATGAGGTGAGTCCTAAATATTATAGTAAAGATTCAATCATGTTTTGGCTTTCACTCACAAAATAACAACATAAAGTTTACTATCAGTGAATACCAGCTTCTTAAAAAATAATAACACAAATGATAACGTTGGTCTTTGAATTTTGGTAATTGTCATAGCTTGACTGCGGGATCTGAATTTATATCCACCAAGGTCCAGGTTATGAATACGGCATAAATATCCAAAAACACGGATATGAGTTATCATAGAAGGACTACCAGACATAAGCTTATGATGAGTTTTTCCATTTAACAAAGCGGGAGGGGTACAATTGATGAGATATGCAACGGTAAGAATACATTGCCCCTAGAACTCAATAGGCATAGAAGCTTGAAAACGGAGAGCAAGAGCAGCATTTAAAATATGAAAGTGCAAGATTACATTCTACCCGACTATTTTCTTAAGGTGTACCACGAAAAAATGTTTCATGCAAAATTTCTTTTTCTTGAAAATTCGGATCAAGACACTCAAACTTCGTCTCATTGTCACTTCTTACGATTTTAAGTCTCTTTCCAAAATATCGTTCAACCATTGTACAAAATTGACAAAAGATAGATGGGACATCATATTTAACATGCAAAAGGTAAAGCCACATGTCACATGAATAATCATCAACAATCGTCAAGAATGCCAAAAACAAAAAAAAGTGTATATAATGAACGCATTTCAAAAATCCAAACACAAGATATTTGAAGTATGAGAAGATTTATAATTGTTTCTAATTCACTCCCTTCCCCATTTCTACTATGGACACCTTGTAAAGCATGCATAGTATGTGGTCTCATATAGTTGGTTTGGTAGTGCACCTTCCCTCTCAAATCTTGCCTTGCCTATATGTGCCAACTTGTAATTGTTTCCTTATTGTACTTTCATGATCTCTGTCATTGCTAACTGGAAACTGATCCATACATTATTTAGTTTCTTGGCATCTAAATTGGCATATGCTTCAGCCACATATTGCACTAACTCATCCATATTTTTTTGTTGATGTCTGATATTGCAATGACTATATTGATGCAAAGAACCCCAAGTCTAAATCATTTAGGTCTGGTGAGTTTGGTAGTTGACATATCAGCTCAATATGGTAACCATCAGCATTTGCTGCTTGCACAAACTCTATGTCATTAACAACAATGTGAGGTTTGACATTATCCTCCTATATGATTATGTGTTTTTTGAGTGCATCTGGTAGTTTCTCCTTGATTGCTGGCAGCTTTTTGGATCAGGAATCTTTTGATACCTCTTTTGTGAGATTAGGTATGGGTTTGGTCTCTGAAGTTCCCGCATGCCTATTTTTGCTACTCCTTTATGCATGAACCTGAATTGTTAAAGGCCAAATGCCTACTTTCCCATCCCATCCCAAATTACCTCCCCCTTAGGAACGAGCCTTCTGCACATAAGTACATTAGTTTAGGCATATGAGCCTTACTTTTAGCTGTCCTATGGGGCTCTCTCTCCCTTTGAGTTTTATACACTCTTAGTGATTGTTTGGACATTTTAAACCATTTTTCATCCACATGAATAGTTCAAGAAAAATCTCGAAAGGTGCGTGAGTGGGAAGGGATTCTAGAAGAAATTGTTTTAACACAAAAGCTAACATGTTAAACTTATTTTCTTATGTTAGGAAAGGCTTGATAGCATTTGTGTGACTTTATAGTTGCCCTTCTTGTATGCACATATGTAGTGTGGATATGGGTACTTGTATAGCTGCAGACAGAGATAGTATGTTTTTTCTTCTGTGAAATAAAATGCTCTCTATCTGTTCTAAATCTAAACAAACTCTTTTAAAACCCACAATGCTTGTCATGTAGTTACTTGCATCACCCATCCATAAGTTGGTTACGACAAGTATGCCAAAATGAACTTACTATTCTCCGGCATATGTTGAAGTCCTTCATGATTTATTTAATCGTGTCGCGCTAAAGTTTCTCATTAGTTTTCTTGTGAAGAAGACAATCTATGATTAGTCTTCTTTCCACATTAGTAAGATTTCTCTTGGTTTTAAAATGGGAGCAGTAACTTCTTCTTCTTATTCTTCTTCTTCTTCTTTTTGTTCTTCTATGACAGGTGTATTGCTGGAGCAGCTTGGACGCATTTCCGGGTTGTTCTCTTAAAGCAGAGACATCTCCAATTATGGAGGAGAAGAGTGGGTGATCAACAACGAAGGGGTGGTCATCGAAGAGCTTGGCAACGCCGAACTTATTTGGCATGACGCCGGTCGTCCCACCATTCACCTCGCTCCTTCCGAGAACCAGCTGCTTCTCTACATCATCTCCCGGTTCCTCAAGCCCCGGGATGGTAGCCACACAACGATGTTCGGTGAGGACATTAAGATCATCCACACTATCATGCACGTGGCACCAGTACACTAGACCAAGTTTGTCATGATCCACATGACCGATGCTGCCACCATTGCCCATGATCAAATCCTTCCATATGCCTTCTTGGTGATGGACATCCTAGAGCGCTCCAAGGTCAATGTCAAAGTTGGGCCTATGACCAAGGCCACAAAGCTTTAGACCATCCATGACCAAACCTTCAAGAAATGGTCAGAGATCGGCGCCCCTACCACACGCCTCACCACTACCACAGGCCACACCACAGCGCCAGCCCGTGCCACCCTCGCCTCCATTTCTGACTCCATCAACCGGCTGACTCTCACAGTTGACGAAATGGGCAGCGCCATTGAAAACATTGACAGAGCGGTCCAAAGACAATGTTATTCCATGCAAGCCTATTTCGGCCGTGTCAACTACGTGCCCCCACCGTACAAATCCACCTTCCTTGACCAGGACTACGGCGGCTACAAACAAAACGAGTCTTATGCCCCTTCAAGCTCCTCGGATGAGGATGAGTTTGACTTGAAAGTTGATGGCAATCCCATGGACGCCGAGGACGACGACGAAGAGGACAACGAAGAAGACGAAGACAAGGACTAGGCAACCGCTCCTAGAATTTCTATCTCTTCTTTCTTATCTTTATGTTTTTTTCTCTCTTATTGTTGTTTCTTTAATGCTTCTGTTGTACTCCATACTTCCCTAAATTTTAATAAAATCAAGGCTTAAAAATCTTTTTGTTAATGTCAAAAGGGGGAAGATAAAGTCAATGAATAAATTAAGGGGGAACTTTTCCAAACTTTTTTCAAAATTTCAAAACCATCCTCCTTATGCATATCCCCATCTTGTTTGCCATTTTCAAAAAGGAGGAAATTGTTGGAACAAACTTTACGTCTATATTCTAATAAAGTGGTGTTCAGTTTTTGACAGGTTTTGATAAATACCAAATTGCCGCAGATATGAAGAGACGTTGAAAAAACTCAAGACAAAAAACATAGAAAAGTGATCAAGTGGAAACAAGAACCAAGAATGAAGATGAAGACTTAGAAATAGATGAGTCTATCTAAATGTAATCAAGACCGACATTGACTTTGTAAACTTGGCTCTCAAAGTTAAAATCATTAAACTGTTTTTCATGCATCATTAAAACCTTTTTCGTAAATTTTTTATAAGACCAAAACACTTGGAATTCGTTCAAACCAAAACCCACAACGTCTGGTGTTCGGCTTTCGGAGGCCACGTTTGGCTTTCAGAAACCGGCATTCAGCTTTCGGTTATCAGTGTTGGTTTTGGGCGTCCGAACCAACCAAGTGATTTTTAATCTTTTATGATTGGTTTTTATTTTTGAGCATATTTAAATAGTTCTCGAACAAAAACATGTTAAAAAACTATCTTTTGTTATTGGTCTTTTGGCAAAAACCATGTGAAATGGCATAAACTTGGCTATCCATGGTTTTTACCTTAATGACATGGTTTTTAAGATATTTCACTTGATTTCTTACTAAAATGCATTAAATAAGTGTTTTCAACACCTGGTTTTCAAATTGGAGAACTTTGATTTTTGACATCGGCTTTCGGCGTTGACCAGCTAGCCATGGTTCTAGCAAACCAGCCCAACAACGATGTTGGATATGCAACATCAATGTTGAGGTTGCACCTGGAACCCATGGTTTGGCAGAAAGGTTCCCAACAGCGATGTTGGTGGTTGAACATTGCTCTTACGCCAAGTCTAAATTTTCTTGTAGCTTTTGTAACAACGATGTAGGAGTCACTACATCAATGTTGTGATCAAAGTTAATAAAATTGATTTTGGCAGAAAGTTTTATAATAGCGAAGTTTTTCCTAGAATATCAATGTTAGGTCATTATCTTCTTTTGGCAGAACAGCCCTGAACATCGATGTTCACGTATGAACATTGATGTTGGCCCCTGACCTTTGAAGATATTAAAGGCTAAATTTTTCCTTCTTTTGAAGTTAACCCATCCAATAGTGATGTTCAAGGTATGAACATTGATGTTGTGGTGACCGTTGAACATTTCTCTTAGAAAGTTTGAACCTTAATAGCGATGTTCGGGACTTGAACATTGATGTTAGGCCAATATCTAGCAGATCCATTTTTTATTTAAATCCTACAAATTGTGTCAATCATCCTCAATCAATTCCCACTCATTAGAGCTTATTTTTTAGTATAAAAAGGGTTCTTTGGGTCTGCATTACACACACCATTACTTCACCAATTATATTTTGTCCTCTTTCATCTTTTTCATAGCTTTTGAGAGCAAATTTTGTGAAGGTTTTGTTGTGCTCTTGAGTGTTCTTATTCTTACTCATTATCTACTCTTGAGGAGAGTCTTATTCTTTAGTGCTGAAGTGTTTCATACACTTGAAGGGAGGTTTATTCCCTTGGTTGTACGAAGGAAGTGTGCTTTCCTTCGAGTTTGAAGTCTTGGAGTGTTTGTGACTCCGAGCAAGTGTCGTTGAGGCTCGTGGTACTCGGGCTCTCAAGTTGTAATGGTTTGTTAAACACCTTAAAGCTTAATTGAGTTAGTAGGACCTTCAAGATAGTCTCTCGTTGGACTGGACGTAGCCACACATTATGGTGAACTAGTGTAAATCTCGGTGTGTCTTCTCAAGCTTTTACTCTTCACGCTTTTAATTTTTTATATTCCTGTAATGTTTGTTTCAAACGCTATTCACTCCCCCTCTAGCATTGGGATACTTTTCAAACAATTTGATAGCTGGGGTAAGTCTCGTGCTTTGACGAGTCGATATACCTCTCTCAGGAGACCTGACAACCTTTAGCCATGCTGAGGAGATGGAGGAGTTGCTCCAGGGGACCAGGTGGCAACGCCTTTTAATGCTCATAGTGGAGTATAGTCTGTCTTTGACGATGGAGTTTCTGTGCTCCCTCACCTCACTCCTAGATTGGGCATCCCGCACACTCACTCACAACATGATCGACTCTAAGACCATGCTCTTTTTCACCCTTTTGGGGCGACGGTTCCAGCTAAAGGTGGGAGAGATGGCGACTCACCTAGGACTCTACACATGGGAGAAGACGGAGGATCAGTCTTTCCATGACATGCCCTTCCGCCTGCCCGCAGGCTTGACCATGCCAAGTTTTGGAGAGAGCACTCTTCAGACACACATGCCTTTGTGAGCAAGAAGAGTTGGGTACATTACCGGATCCGACCCAGCTAGAGGATCCTATCTTTCATCCTTTCGACGTATTTCTTTGGGAGGCTGTCGAACACTGATCGAGCCTATGAGGAGGATATGTCGAACACCGCCACAGTACGTGGGCTCAGCGCCTCCTGGATTAGTAGGCTGCGACTTTGGAGTCTGTAAGAGCATTGCAGCAGTAACTAACAGACGTTCCAGGCTTAGAGTTTCGACAGGCTTCGCACAATTTTCAGCTCTTTTTGTGGAGATGATGTGTTTCAACCCACTCCCCCTCGTCCTCCCACCAGCCTTCTCAATGATCTCTTACCTCTGACTTCTATCTATTGTTTGAGCAGGATGTTGATCCTTTTACTGTTTTGTTGGAACTCGTATTTAACTCCTTGTGGTAATATTTTATGGTTAATTATGTTTTCTTACTATTTTAATCATCGGTTTTTAATACTCTACACATGTAATCATCTTAGTTGTCATTTGAATATTTCACCCAAAAACTCTAAATCCAAAATACTTTTTTTCCCGAGGGCGCGGTTCCGTTCAAATGTGAGGATGTGCGAGTTTCAGGTTGAAATATTCTCTAAGGGAATTGCTTTTCTTTGCATATTCATAGGAAAAGATTTTATAAAAGTAGTCATCAACTCTTTCATGACTAGCTAATTAATTTTTAATTATCACCCATAAAATTGGAAATTTTTAATAATTTTTGTTAAACTTCTATTTTTTCTAATATTTTGAGAATATTTCCTGAAATTATTTAGGATAAATTCAATTGTATTAAGAGTTTTTAAGATCAAATAATCTATAATGCTTTTTTTTATGAATACTCTTTTACCTTTGGAAATCTGAGTATTTGTTGTTTCCTTAAAAAGAATTTTTATCAAAATGTAAGGGGATGTCTTTTCGCATACTGTGGTGAGATCAGGCTTTTTGTTTTAGCTAAAAAGCAGTTGGTTCTATATCAACTGATGAGGCTAGATGAGTATGCCAAAAAACATGTGGTTCTATGTCACGTGATAAAGTAAAAAAGAATGTGGTTTTATCCCGTGTGATGAAACTTTCTGGAGTGTTTATCCAAAAAGCTCGTGGTTCGATGTCACAAGATTAGGATTGAACATTTTTCTCATATCAACATGACAAAGTTATGCCAATAAAAACAAACCATTACATTTTCGTAATTACTCTTAAAAGAGCGAATTCGTCAATTTAGCTGTTAAAAATTCTTTGGTCTTAGTAACTTATCTGAGAAAATGTATTTAACCCAAGAAAGGTTAGAAATATTTGTTGAGAAGATTGATACAAAAAAATTAATTTGACGAGAATGCTTACAAGTTTCTAATAATGGCCATGTTCCATGGCCACTGGATTCCAGTGGCCATGGAACCGGGTCTTTCCAATAATATGGGTAAGAACCTAAAAAATCAATTGTTTTACAAAAAGTTGATGATTGTCTTATTTCTTCCTTCATACTATGCACTTTAAACTCTTTTAATTTCCATGATGCTTATTTGCTCCCATTAGTATAATTGTTCAAATTTGTTGCTTGAGGGAAAGCAACGTTTAAGTGTGAGGAATTTGATAAGTCCATTTCGTTCTTATTGCATTCTACATATTTTAAACGTTATTGCATGTCAATAGTGATAAAACTGTTCATACAATATGTTTGTTACAAATAAAACGTATGTTTTATTTGTAGAAGGTTAAAAAGAGGATTCCCAATTAAAATAGTTTGGTTTATCAAGTTTTTGTCTAAAATGGAGAAAAAGTTCCAAATTTTGGGAACCATTGTGGAAACAAGCTTATGGTTAGTCAAAATCAATGTTCGGGAACCAAAAGGGGCAAACTGGGTCAAGATTGGACTGGAAATCGTGAAAAATGGTGAAGCTTCTGGAACCAGAGTTGGGGCTTCCAACTTGGACGCCCAAGGTTTCTTGGAGCTGACGCATCGCTGACGCGATTTCACCATGTGGCATGCACGGAGTGGACCGGGGGTTGGGGCGTCCAAAGTTGGATGCCCCGACTTGGACACTCGAGATCCGGTAGTATATAAACCCCTCAGGTTTACCTCATTTCACATCGAATCATTCTCTTCTCAACTCTTCTCCCTTCTACACATATTTTCGAGCTTTCTAGTAGTTTAGTAGTTTTAGCATAAGTTTTTGGAGTTTCTCAGAGTAATCTGTAGCCCATTCCTCTCCCGATACTCAGATCCTTTTAAAGTAAGTGTTCTTATTTTATAAATTTAATTATGTCTTTGTCCGAAAATTGCTTCTTTAGTTTTATTATTATGAGTTGCTAAATCTATTAGGAATGTGATTCATAGTAGGGTAATGAAAATTGTTAGATAAAATTATTTGGTTGGAATATTAATTCAAATTAATTAAATTACTAGTTGTTATTATTATAGATTATTATTGATATTAATTACCTGAAAACTTGTTAATCAAATCTTTGAAAAATTATCATGTCCTATGAGAAACCTAGATCACAACTAATCAGCCTTTGTAATACTTATAATTAATTTCTATAACTAGAATTAATTATTGCATTAATGTTTAATTGATATTACTTCACTAGTAGTAAAATTAAAAATAATAAATATTCTAACCAGTAAAGGTGGTCTGAAAAGATCCATTAGGTGATTATGAATTACATCTTTATCCTTTTTAAATTGAATTAATCATCCTCGGCGGACGATTGCTACGAGTTGACATCATTGCATCTGGAATTTCTTGTTCTTCGCCCAGCCATATTCTCGCAGTATCTTTCTCACAGTCAATATCTCTCAATGAAAGCACCAATGATGAGATTCATCCCGAAGCCTATGGTGGCGCGAAGAACTTGTATGTGAATAAGATTGATATAGATTGAGTATATAACTCTCATATACTTGTATTAGCTTATTTCAGTTTAGGTTACAATGGATGATTTATCTCCTATTTATAGTCTAACGATACTGCGTACATGGCATGTAATTCGTATGCCACATTATCAGCCTGATTGGCGTTCATGCGTCAATTATTATGGACGAAGAATCAGTCATCAATCACTCCTCAATCCTACAATCAAGGGTTTTGGGATTGCCCTTTCCTTATACCTCGTGATCCATCCGCCTTGACACACTGGGCCTGGCCCATTACCTCATTCAATCTTTGAGTTCGACCCATTCTTGTAATCCAGATCTGGCCTTCATCCCTGTTGGATTCCAGATAACATGTTTGGGCCTTTTCGAGTCCATTTTATGAATCCGATATCCATCAATGCATTTCTTTAAAACTAATTCTAAAAAAGTTACTAACCTCTACTTGTTCATAGCCCATTTCATCCACTATAATGCATTATGTATTATTTCCATTTATTGTAATTTGTAAATGCATTATGTCTCACTCATCCTACTATATATAAAAAGAAAATAAAATAGATTATGTTGTTTCCCGCCCATATTGAGTAGCTCCGGTCCAAAACTTGAAGAACAATTCATATAGATACATAGATTCACAAGAGTCCAAATAACCTAATAGCTACAATAATTCATACTCCGTGTACATATATTCACATGGTATATGTCTAAGGAAGGGTATTCCCTTTTCCTCATTCAATGCATATTATCCACTTCAAGAATGGTGCATATTTTGTGCTATCATATGCATATTTGTTTTTATATAAGACCTCGTTTGGTACATGGAATTCAAACCATGGAATTGGAATTGAGAGCTTCAAATCCAATTCCTGTGTTTGGTAGCTCAAAAATTATGTGGATTTGGAATTGATAGTGTAAAAAAATGAATTGGAATTGGCAGAATTCAATTCTATGGAATTGAATCCCATAGAATTTCAATTCCAATTCAATTCTAATTCCGTCAATTCCACATACCAAACGGACCCTAACTGTTATCAATTTTTCTACAGGAATAGAATCCATTGTTGGCTTAAAAAACTATAAAATCAAGAAGTATGACAAGAATCGGAGTTTTTGATATTTTAAATCTTCTAATTGTAACATGTTCTCAATTTTAAAGGAATTTGACTATGAGATAAATTTGTCTAAAATACCCTAACTGAAAACTGGACATGGCAAGGAATTAAGAGATGGAGGGATGATTATTGTGAAAATTAGCTTTAGTTTCAATACTCCGTAAGTTTTAATGTTGACCTCAACATACATAATACATTCAGTGAAAATCATTACTTCGTACTCTGTAGTACATCCTATTTTTTTTAGTGTAGTGTGCCATGTGTTTAATAATAAACTCTTTATCAATAAGAGATTTAAGTATATTTCAAAAAGTTATAATTTTAATTTTAAAATTTATATTTTTTTAAAACTAATACAGAGTAAATAATTAATAAGGATTGTTTTAAAATTCTTTTCGGACATCATTTTCCAAGATGGGGTAAAATATGTCTTCAAACACTATAAAATAGGTGAGTTTTATATAAAATATGACTTCTTCCGATAAATATTGGTAAACTTAAATTTCAAATTAAATAAAAATAGTATTAGATATTTGGACAAAAATATGTTTATTAGATTTATTACATCAAATGTTTTCAAAAATATTACTCCCTCTGTCCGGGAATGATGTTCCCACTTTGAATTTTCCTCATTTATTTGTAAGAGGCATTGACTAAGGCTTGAAAGGACTAAAATGCCCTTGCATTTTGAGGGTCACCACAGCCCACCTCCCTCTAGCACCCCTGCGGCCCTGCCCACCTCCAGTGACACCCTACCGCCATAAGCCCCACCTGCCACCACCGCCGCCAGCCCACCACCACCCAACCTCCCACCGCCGCTGTCAGCCCCCACCTCCATCTCCCACAGCCGCAAACATTGCCGGAGAGAGAGAAAAGGGAAAGAAAGAAAAAAGTGGAGGAAAAGATAGATCTAAAAGAAAGAGTAAGGGGAAGGAAAAGGAGAAGAGCAGATCTAGACTCACCATTACAGCTACCGCCGCCGTCACCATCACCGACACCACCGCCGTCATCATCTCCGACACACCGACACGGCCGCCGTCACAAACGCCGCCACCGCCGCTCTACACAGATCTAGAAGGGGGTAAAGAAGAAGAAAGAAAACGTGGGAGAAAGAGAAGAGGAGGAGAGAAGAGGAAGAAGGTGGCAGGTTGGGAAAGAAATAAGGAAAGAAAGGAAGAAAGGAAAAAAAAGTGGCGGAAGAAGGAAAGAAAGGAAGGAAAAAAAGAAGAAGAAAAGAAGAAAGGATGGAGGATGAGGGTAATTTTGGAAGAATATAGAAAGAAACGTATAATGGAAACATCATTCCCGGACAGAAAAAAACGTACAATGGAAACATCATTCCCGGACGGAAGGAGTATTTTATCAAATTAATATACAATATATATTTTATTTAATTATAGGTCAAAGATTGAAAATGATTAAGTGGAAAAAGTCAAAACTGGGCAGATACTCAGAAAAGAAGATAGTATATATTGCAATATAAATTTATTTTAATATTGACATTAAAAAGTTTTAAGAAACTTGCTCACACACTCTTAAATTTCTAATGTTGTAAATTAAAGAGTTTGCTTAAGATGTATATATGATCGTAAGCAATCAATAAACATGACAAATTTTATGTCCGTGCATTGCACAGACATAAAATCTAGTTGCTAGATAAACTACCAATTTTTAAATATTATTTAGAGTTCTCATGGTTTCTACGTAATCTTCTACAAGCATCTTAGCATGTATCACATATATCTCAGTGCTAATGCATTTCAACATACACAGAATGAATCAGGGTGCTACTCTTCTTCAATCTCAATGAATCAAATTACTCTTTCAATTTGCTATGTAATTTTAATTATTTGTCTAAATGGTTTTTTTCTTATTTCGGTTTAATCACATGGCATTTACTTCTGATGATACTATTTTTTATTTTTATTATTATTATTATCTAATAATGCATTTACTTCTCATGATTTATGGTTTTATATTTTACAAGTGGGACACTTTAATGAAAGGCTTGGGCTTCTATGTAATTGAGGAGTCCATTAGAGCATTCACAATGGCAAAGCAATGTCTTGCCTTGCCTTGCCTAGCCATATCAGCAAATGTCACTCAAATCGTAACATTTCATGGTCATTCCACCCTACTTTTCATTCCATGTACAAGGCATGACTCTCTCATATTTTATTTTTTTAATATTTTTAATTTTTGAAAAAAATATTTTTTAAAAGAAGTAGACATATTTTAATAATAATGGCTGCAATTACTCTAAAAATAAGAATCGTCAAATAATTATTCTTTACCCTCTTCGTCCCATAATTTTGATATTGTATTTTTTGTTTTTAAATCTGGGTCACCACTTTGAAAGTAACATTATCCGAATGAAATTGTTTCTATTCCATGCAAAGAAAACATTTTTATATAATCAAAACCAAGACATAATTATGAGACGTATTGATTATTAATTTTTTCATGTTTTTTACTTACTCCGTATTAAATAATGCTCTCTGTCCAAACTCCAAAGTAAATTTCCACATTGAAATCAGCACATTGGAGTACTTGAAAACTTGTAAGTATTACTTTATTACATTCTGCTCTCTTCAGATTTTCTATCACACATGTTTTTCACATTGGAGCATTAAAAAACTTGAAATTATGTGAGGGAAATATTCTTAACCTGTGCTTCTAATTTGTGTATGAAAAAGACACAAACTCTTATAGGATAGCCCAATCTATTGGGCCGAGGCCCAACCCAACAAGGGAACCCTCATTGCCATCAGTTGTACAACCAAGCAAATTCCCATTTTTAAAAACTTGGAATAAATAAGTTCAATACAAAGATGACATGAAATAAAAACATAGAGACGAAACTAAAAAAAAAGGGTTTACAATTGGGGAGAAAATGGTGGGGATAAAAATAAAAACCACACAATTAAATGGTGATTTTTGGACTAATAAATGTCCCCCGACTAACCAAATCATCTTCTCCTATCTCATATGGCTTGGGTTAAAAAAGGAAAGAAAGAAAGAAAGAAAGAAAGAGAATAACGAACCTTTGATGTTTGTTTGTGGGCACATTCTCCTCATTCTGCCTTGTGCTTTGCTGCAAGTTTTCTTTCTCTCCTCTTCACACCAGTGCTAAACCTACCCACACACTTGAGGATTTCGTCCACCAATATCACGGGGAACGCGACGGCCAGCACCAGAAGCCACTCGTTCAGGCTTAGGGGCACGATCCCAAACACCCGGGCGAGGAAGGGCACGTAGAGTATCAAGAAGTGGAGGCCGAAGGAGACGGCCATTGCCAAAAGAAGCCACGGGTTGACCCAAGGCGGCATCGTCAAGAGGCTCCCGTCCTCCGAAAGGGCATTTAGGGAATTGAACATCTCGATGCACACCAGAACGGAGAGGGACAGTGTCGTGGCTTTGATCTTGCCTCCTTGGAAGTAGTCGCACGGGTTGTCGTTGAAACTGAAGACTTGCGTGCCGGCTGTGAAGGGTGAAGCTGTGAAGTTGTTCCACGAGTGGCACTCGTCCCAGTTGGAAAGCTGGGAATATGTGACGAGGCTGTGGCCGTCCCTGGTTAGGTCAATCCCAAGGAATGAGCTTTGGGTGTACCAGACGATGAAAACCCCGACGGTCGCAATGCCTACATACATCCCAATCACCTGCACCAACCGCCATTTGCATTAACAGAATGGAGAGAAACTAACTCATTGGAGGGTATGGAGGGGAGACCTTACCCATACTAAAAGGGCAGAGAGGTTGTTTCCAAAAGACCCACTGAAGCACACTAAAGGAACCAACTCAACCGAAAGCGCAAGCTCGGGGTTGTAGGCTCTGGAATTTTTTTTACTCTAAAACACTCTCTAACGTGCAGGAGAGAATTGTTATTGCTCGAGCCTTGTACATAAAATTATATTTTAAAAACTGGGTGACGGTGAGATTTGAACTTGTGACCTTTAGGTTAGCAAGAGATTTTGAGAAAAGGTTATAAACTATGATAATGTGCATGGTTCTGGTTCTTAAGAGACTTTAAACTAAAACTTTAAACAGTTCATACCCTCCATTTGATGATTCATGAACATTTGAAGTAGAGAAATAATTTACCAGATAGCGGAACAAGGTCCAAGCATTGATTAATGAATCGTCACTTTTCCTCGGTGGTTTTTTCATTATATCTTCGTCGGGTGGATTGAAACCCAAAGCTGTTGCCGGGGGTCCATCAGTCACTAAGTTGACCCACAGAAGTTGAACTGGAATCAGGCTCTCTGGAATTCCTAAAGCAGCAGTAAGAAATATAGAAGCAACCTCTCCAATGTTTGATGAAATCATGTACCTGCAACGAGCGAAAAATGTTTAAATTTGAAAAATTTATGTAAAAATTGAGGGATCATATTAGAAGTTAGAACTCATCTTTTGAAATACACAAATCCACTACAGTTGGAAAATAGAGCTATCTATTGCCTATGCACAAATCCAACCATCCCTCTGTTTTTTTATTGGTCGTTTTAAAGAGAAAAAATATGTTCTCAAATGAACATTTTCCACCAAATAACTGTGGCTTTAGAATACTGCATCAAGAAAACATTACATGAACATTTTCCACCACTTCCCCCTTCACCCATAGATGTTGCAGTGCATTCAGTTTTTATTACTCTGTAATAGGGATTCTAGTCATATTGTACCATTTCACCTCGATTATAGAAAAAGAAACATTGTTCTTGAACTATGCAAAACACCTAAAGGCTAAAGCCAGACTTTGTGTAACCCAACAAAAAGAATGTAAAAACCAGACAAACGAAACCCAGAGAATGACAGAAGTAAACCTGATAAAGGCTTTCATGTTGTTGTATATGGACCTGCCTTCACCAACAGCAGCAACTATTGTGCCAAAATTATCATCTGCCAGAACCATGTCAGAAGCTTCTTTTGCTACCTGGAAAAAGAAATCCAGAGACAGGAAAGAAGAACAAAAGGAATTTAATTATTAACTTAATAAGCTTTGAATAAAACTACTACACCTAACATGCAAATTACAGAGCAAAAATAGAATTATGTACAGGTCATTGAATCATTTGGGAGATTGGCAATCACAAATAAGTGAATTAACTTTATGTTACTCCCTCCCTCCCATTAAAAGAGTTCTCAAACACAAATGTACAACTGTTGGAGATCATCACATATAGCTATACTTTCACTCTTTTTTGGTTGTTTTAGTTAAATGTAACACATTCAATTTGTTTGAGACATTTGTTTTTAATCTTTTTTAACATTGGACATGATGAAAAATATGTTATTTTATTTAAATTTGGACTTTGGGACAAAACATGCTTAGAATCATGACGCTTATTATGGGACGGAGGGGGTATTATAAAACTTATTTGTTACCCTTAAGGCCTTCATCATTTCGGGAGATGAAAAGCAACTCTCAGTGTTTGGATTGCTTTTGTCAAAAATGATCATTGAAAGAGAAAGAACCTCCATGTAGTTTTTATTTGATTGTGATCTATACACTGATACAGGCAAAAGAAAATTAAAAAAAAGAAAGAAACTGTGCATGAACAATCACTAGTCAGATAGATAATGCAGTTAACTTTTACCTCAGTCCCCGTAATTCCCATTGAGATTCCAATATCAGCCAGCTTGAGAGCGGGTGCATCATTAACTCCATCCCCAGTCATGGCAACCACCTCGCCGACTTCTTTGAGAATTCTCACTATCTCTTGTTTATGCCTTGGCTCAGCCCTAGAGAATAAAAGCCCTCCACTTCGTCCTAAAAGTGATTTTGGGTCAGCAAGTTCAATGAATTCTTTGCCAGTTAAGCTTCTTGAGGAAATGTTCTCATTGGGTCCAAAAACACCAATTTCACGGCAAACTGTTTCAGCTGTATTCTTGTTATCTCCGGTTATAACTATAACACGAATTCCAGCTTCTCTGCAATCCTCTATTGCTTTACGTACCTCTTTCCGAGGAGGATCCTAAAAGCAAATGGCACATCACTTGATTACAGCACACGCAAAGAACACACTACGGCACTACTGTAGAATGTAGGTGTCAAAGTGAGCCTATGAAGGTAGAAGGTATTTTGTGTGTTTGTGTGTGTGTGTGTTATCACCATAATATTTAAATAGTTGTAAGAAAACATTAGCACGGGGAAAAAATATTGATAACTCACCCTAATACCAGCCACACCAACAAATATGAGTTTACTTTCAATTGATGGATAATTGGCAGGATTAAGCAATAGGTCATGGGCTGGGTGGTCTTCATCACCTTCATATGTTTGAAAGCCAGGTAAGGTCTCCTTATACGCAAAACCCAGTACACGTAATGCTTTAGATGACATTTCACTGGCGCTTTGCAATATCAAATCTTTTGTACTGACATCTAGTACTACAACAGAACCATCCAACAATTGCACATGTGTACTTCTCTCTAGCAAACTCTCAACAGCACCCTGCAAATGTGAAGAGCGCACAGACACAGTAGATTATTGAATGAGAATCCTTTGAGAATGAATATGTAAATAAAACTAGAAACCAAAGTTACTAATTACACTGAGAAGGCTACATTCAATTTAGCATATTATGGAAGGATTCACAATTTTGGCAACAAGGTAACAAGGGTAGAATAATGGATCGGGAGCATACCTTCACCAATAGTGACCTTTTGCCTGAGCTGGAGCGTACAATAACACTCATGGACTTCCTATCACGGTCAAACTCAAGAGTCGCAATTCTTCGTTCAATTTTGTTCCATGTAGAACAGCAACCTTAGATTTAGCAGGCAGATGTCAGTTCTTCTACATCAATGATATATAAGTAAATGCATGGATATCATATAGTAATAACTTACAGGGTACGCCACTGTGGATTTTGGAATACTCAATATCTAGGCCATCAGGGAGTCCCATTTTCTCAACCAGAACCTATATGTAAATGACACAAGAAACTTTCAATGACACAGGTGATTAAAAACCAATACACCTGCCCACACACTCAGTTAAAACTATTAAAATCTATAGCAGAATTATAACATTTGATTTTCCTCTTTAGGTGAATTTACTAACATGTGCTTCAGGAATACCAAAACTTTGGGCATGCAACGTGTTTCAATGGGTACGAAATCTAACCTAATATTTCAACTAAACAAAAACAAGGTCGTTTGAGCAACATGCTGAAAAGTGGTAACTAACTACCAGTTTCATAATAGAAAAACACAGATTGATTTGTTTTAAATGATTAGAACAAAGAGCTTGTCTTGATGAAGCAGAAGAACCTAATTTGTTTTTTCATTGAAAGAGAGATGGCAGGTCAGTTTTATTACCTTTAATGCCGCTTCAGTAGGCAATCCCGTGGTCACGTAACGCTCCCCTGACTTTTCAATGCTGGCATCGTTGCAAATAGCTGAAATCTTTGCAATCATTTGAAGATTGGAATCCATCCGCCCTACCGGCCAGTCTTGAATTTTCCCATCAAAAGGATCATATGTTGTCCCTTCGACATCGAAGGATCGCAGAACATTTGCCTTTGAACCCAAAGTAATAAGCTTGGCTACTGACATCTGATTGGTAGTCAAGGTACCAGTTTTATCTGAGCAAATAACAGTTGTACAGCCAAGTGTTTCAACACTGGGCAACTTGCGGACCAGAGCATTCTTAGCAGCCATCTTACGTGTTCCAAGTGCCAAACATGCCGTGATAACAGCCGGCAGACCTTCAGGAATGGCGGCAACAGCCAAAGCAACTGCAATTTCAAAGTAATAAGTGCACTTCTCAAAAGAAAATTTAAAGTTCCTTGGCCATCCATCAACAAACTCCCAAGAGAGGAAGTACTTCAAATTAATCAGCCAAACTAGAACACAAATTACACCAATAATAGCAGTCAAAGTCTCTCCAAACTCATTGAGCTTTTTCTTTAGTGGTGTATCTTCCTCCACCATGGTCGCCTCGCGAATCTGAGAATGGACCTGTCCTATCTCCGTGGCCATCCCAGTGTGAGTAACCAAGCAGAAACAATGTCCATTGACTACAGTTGTGCCAGAAAAGACCATGCATTTCTTCCCCTGGAGTTCAACATCTTCTGGAACTACCTTAGTCGTCTTACTCACTGGTTCGCTCTCTCCAGTCAATGGACCTTGCTCCACACGGAAGGTCGAGCTAATCAAATGTATTACTCTCATGTCAGCCGGCACTTTATCCCCTACTTGCAACTCAACGATGTCCCCTGGAACAAGATCTTTAGCTGGCAAGCTGGAAACCCGAATTCCGTCACGAATCACAGTTGCGTGGTCAGACTGAATCTCCTTTAGCACTTCCAAAGCCTGCTCTGCGTTATTCTCTTGCCAGACGCCTACTATGGCATTGACAATCAGAATCAAGAAAATCACCAGAGGCTCCACAAAGGCAGTGATCTCCATCTCGCCACCTTCATCTCCATCATACCACGCCAAAACAAACGATACCACAGCAGCAACAAGCAAAATCCTCACTAGCGTGTCGTTGAACTGGTCTAAAATCAATCTAAAAATCGATGGCCCCTCGTGCTTCTCAAACTCATTCCAGCCATAGATCTCCCTCCGCTTGTTCACTTCCTCCTCGGACAACCCCTTCTCCACGCCCACCTGGAACCTGTCCAAACACTCCCTCACGTCTTTACACCAAGCCGGATACACATCCCGGCCGGAAGCCACCCTGCCGCCCCCTGAACTCACGGTCCTCCCGCTATCCTTCCCTCCCATTCCCATTACTCGCTACACTACACCTGAAATCCCTGCCCCAAAATCACCTGGAAATTTCAAAAATTCAGCCTACAATAATCTCAGAATCTGATAACGTCGATTCTATGGCACATAAACTCCAATTAGGTCAAATTAACAAAACCAAAACAACAACCACAGTTCCCAGAAACTTCCACATTTCAGAAAAAATACACAAGCAAAGAGTTATTCATACATGATACATTCATAAAGGCATACATAAACGCAGCAGATATCATACCAGGAAGTTGAAGAAGCTGATGGAAGTGAGGAATCCCTAGGCAGAGAGAAGCGAGAGATTCATGTTCTTCCTTATAAGAAAACGAAGGGCGAAGGCTTCTCTTCCAGTCGCGACACCTTCTGTGCAGTTTCCCGTTTACGGCAGGTACATTTATTACTGATGAGTACGGACTCCTCCCCAGAGTATTACCATGCTCCCTAGTCCCTACCCGGGCTATCATTTTTCTTCAATTATTACTATTATTATCCCAAATTCCCAAACAAAAATAATTGAAATTAAAGAAATCAACCCAACAAAATATAGAACAAATAGCAAAATAAGAAGAGTTTACTACTGTGATTTGGTAAATATGTACTGTTACTTTTCATTATTTTAAAACTTTTTGGATAATTTTCATGATACAAAATTCATTGACCCTCTTTTTACACTAAAACACATTTCTCACTTTTTGTTCATTTTATGATTTCTTTATTTACATTTTCCATTTTTTATTTTTAAAAAATTATTTCTATATTGTTTCTATTGTTTTAATCAAAATTAAAATAAAAGTAAAAAGATCAGAAAAGAAAATAAAGAAAGTATATGAAAAAATATTAAGGCATGAAGGAAACTTATTGCGCATCCATCTAAAAAAATGTTATTAATAAATAATTAAATATATATTACAATTAATTAAGAGACCTTACTTAGTACTCTTTTAGTCCAGCCATATTAAAAAACATATCTTTAGACAAAAATGAAAATATTTAAATTGACAAAATGAAGTACATGTTAAATTTTTTATTTCACTTCTTATCTCAGATTCAAAATTTTTTTATTTTTTAAAATTTTTTTTAATATATAGTTTTGAAAAAAAATCATTATTTAAAACACAAACATTTTTCTTCTTTTTATGAAAAAAAGAAAGAAAAAAGAAAAATAATAATGAAAAATGAGAGGGGCATTGGTGCCCATTTCCAAAACCATAGGGGACAGTGGAGCTATTCACCTAATATTTAAAGGGTATTTTTGTCTAGAGGGACATTGACGTAGCAAATATGAGAATCATGAGAGACAACGACGTAAGTTTTGGAGCAATGAGGGGCAACGGTGCACATTTACTCAAAATAAGAACTACATGCATGTTTTTATTCAAAAATTAGAGTTGACACTGTGATAATGTTGTACTATATATAAATATTTTATAATACTTTTTGGTATTATATATTTGCATCATTAGCATTATATATGCATTTTAACTTCTAGTTTGGAAATAAAAATATAAAATTTCTATTTTGATATATTTTCAATGTTTTACTTTTATTTTAATTTTTTTTCTCTAAAAATTATTACGGAGTATAAAAAAGGATGCTTAAATACTCCTTTAGTTTCAAAAAAGATTATTTATTTCTTTTTTGGATGCTCACATTCTTTCACTCTTTTGAATCATTTTCAATCATACAAATATATTTTTCTTATTTTTTATAGCAATCAAACTAAAAGCTTTTTTAGAGCAGAGAATATCTAATTAAAGCAGCAAATGAAGGAATAAGGTACCATAATTGCCACATTTGCATTTTTTTCACAAAAATCGAATATCCAAAAGATAAGGAAAGTGAGAAGGTAATTTGCTTTCTTTCATTTTGAAGAGTTATATTTACTTTCTTCAATACAAAAGGTAAAAACAAAGAAAATACCTTCTCCCCATTGGAATCAAATACTTCTTTAGAAGGTATAATTACCATTTTTGAGAAACTAAAAGAGATACTCCTTCCGTCCAAAAAAAGTCACATTTCACTATTCAAAAATCACGTAAACTTTCGTTTATTTGTACGTTTTCATTGATTATTTGATAAAATAAAATATTCTTGTCACTTCTTGTTTTAAAGCATTTTTGACATAGTTTTTAAATATGTAAATTTTATTTTTTATTTATATTCCAATCTTTAAATAAAATAAATTTAAAAACATGAAATTTTGCTTTGTTTTGCATAATGCGGCAAACATTTTGGGACGGAGGGTGTATCCTTCTTCTTGACCCTTCTTACTTTGGAGTTGCTCTTAGAACTGAAACAAGTTTGGATTGGTTCCTTTGATATCCACCTCGATTAACACCACGGTGTTATTGCGCTTTTTGGGCACATATGGTTAACCTCTCACCCGACCCGACTCAACCCCACTCTCAATCCCTTTAATTTCATTCCTCAAATTTAGTTCACTCGTGGATCATTATTCAAATAATCAAACTTGGTTCATATTATTTGTTTCTTTCATTCAAAGTATTTACAAATTGAAAAGTCTTTAAGACATTCGCCGTGGTGAATTGGTGATTATTAAATTGTCATTATTCAAGTAAATGTTTGTCATCACAGGACATTATGGATATTATTAAGTGCTATTTAGAGAATAAAATAATTTAAATGCTATTTAAAAAAATGACTTAAGTTTTAGTGGTATTTAGTGCAAATATTTCTATTAAATTTCCTGCGCGTGAAAACTTTTTATTACATCCCATTTTAGAATTGTTTCCACGTGAGTTTTTTTTTCACACTATGTGTCGAATTTCTTTTTATCAATTGAATGAGATGGTGGATGTGATGGAAATATTTTCCCACTATTAGGAGTGTTTTCTCACATTGAAAAAAAAATTGACACACAAAAAATATTGATATGGATGAAAGGAAAAATATATATGGAGTATAATATACTTCATCTCGAAATATATTACAATCATTTTTTTCTCTTCTTCGATTACTTTTATTTATTTATGTGTTTTAATTGATTATTTAATAAAATAAAATATTCTTATCACCTCTCGTTTTATAGAATTTTTGACGTAATTTCTTAATATATAATTTTTATTTTTTATTGATGTACCAATTTATAAATAAAATAATTTTAAAAGATGAGAGATTTTGCCTCATAACTCTCAATTTCTAATCAAATTAGAAAGGGAAAGAGTATATAATTTACTCCCTTTTTTTATCTCTTCTTTTCAAACATTTTAAAAAACACTTTATACATTTTCGAGAAATGCTACTCACAAACTAGATGATTATATACTTTACAAACATATTATGCGTGAAACTCATTAATAGCACCAAATTTTTTAAATAATTAAAAAAAATTATATTCACAAATATGATATTTATGAATTTTGAAGCTATTTAATCTCTGACTCTAATATTTTTCTACTTTATTTCATTTTGGAGTAATGAGCATCCTCCGTATATAACTAGCATGATTTTGTTTCATCTAAATAAATTTTAACTTTAATACGTTTCAATTTTAATATTTTCCCTGAATATCGTAAAATTTAAATTAGATACAAAGTAGGTATTTTTTTTGAACAAATAGAGTAATTTGTTTTTTAAATAAGATAAATTTATTAAGTAGAAAGTGAAGCTCGTTGTTGGAAAACATTATGCTCTCTCTGTCCTAAAATAATGTACATTCTTACTATTACGGTTTTTCAACATTTATTTATTATTTACATGTTTTCATTTCATTGATCATTTGATAAAATAAAATATAATTGTCATATCTTGTCTCGAAAAACTTTTGATCTAGTTTCCAAAAATATAATTTTTTTTATTTCATTGCCAATTTTTAAATAAAACTATTTTTAAAGTGATGAAATTTTGCACGTTGATCGAAATAAATAATTTATTTTAGAACGGAGAAAAAAGCTTTCGATGTTTCAAGTTGCACACTAAAGATAAAAACAGATATACTCCCTCCGTTAAAAAAAGAACTACACTTTTCATTGTTTAAAAGCCACGGAATTTTTTTTACTATTTATGCATTTTGGTTGATTATTTAATAAAACGAGATATTCTTATCGCTTCTTATTTTGTAGAACTTTTGGCGTAATTTTGAAATACGATAGTTTTATTTCTTAATCTGAAAAAATTATCCAAAATAATCCCAATTTTTACATGGTCTTTTAAAAATAATTTCACTGTGATGCATAATACTCTTAACTTTATTGAAACTTGCGAGTTTTGGGTCACCTTTAAGTTTCTAATGACGGATTAACAGAAATGCATGTTTGCGTAACAAAATGAAAGTTAAGATTATTTTTTATGATTTTTTTAAAATTTTCATTTAAATTTTTAAAATTACTTTCTACCTCCATTTCTTTTTCTTTTTTTAAATATTATTCTTCCCTTAGAAAAAATAGATATAAAAAATAATGAAAATGAGAAAAATAACTAAAACCATACAAAACTAATGAATTAAATAATCTAATCAATACAAATTAAACTAAAACTGGTAAGATATAAAATAAATATGTACGGAGTGGTGGGTTTTAACATTTTACGCACTATACGGAGTCTTAGGGTCTGTTCTTTAGGACTGGAAAAAAAAAGCTAAATGTTGGAAGAAACTGGAAGAAATTGGAAGAAACTGGAAGAACTGGAAGAAACTGGAAGGAACTGGAAAAAACTGGAAGAAACTGGAAAAACTAGAAAAATATTGAAAAATATTTAAAAACTTTAAAAAAAAAAATTATGTGTGGTTTTATATTATTCTCATTCTGATTTTTGTTGTTATAAATTATTATTATTATTATTATTATTATTATTATTATTATTATTATTATTATTATTATTCTTGTTGTTGGTGGTGGTGTTATCACGTTATCTTAATGATTGTCTTTAAGATAAAAAATATTACGAGTATTATTTTTCATATATAAAAAGCTAGTTTAAAAAAATAATTAGAATATAAAATTAGCATTAATATGACACTTCTTGGGTCATTTTTTTTTCAAAATGTAGTTTTCTCTTGTTTTCATAATATTATTATTCTTCCAGGCCCTTAAATGTAATTTATTTTATATAAACTTAGATTAAAAAATATTCTATATAACTTTTTATCCATAATTTTTTAAATAGTTTACTAATTTTTCATGTAGATTAATATACAAAAAAACGGTATTATTCATATTAAAAAGTTGAAGAAACTGGAAGAATGAATGTGAATCATAAAAATAGTGAGATGAAAAAATAAAATAATTTATAAATTATAATTATGAACATAAAAGTAGTAATTAAAAAAAAGTTGTAATAATAATATATTTTTTAGAGTGATTTGTCAGGAATTAGAAAGAATTTGAATGAAGTTTGACCATGTGAATAATGAACATGCATTATAATTTGGGATGGAGGGGGTACTTATTTTTTAAAAGAACAGTCCCTCCAGTAAAGTTGGAATTATTCTAGATAATTTTTTCTAAAAGTAAGAAGTGATCCGTTAATACTTTGTATAGTGCGTAAAATATTAAAATCCACCACTCTATATATATTTTCTTATTTCTTACTAGTTTTAGGCAAAGTTGGAAATTTTTTTGGGGTATTTCCTCTTAATTTTTATACCAGTCTTAAAATAAAAAGAATTTTAAAAAACATAAATTTTTATTTTATTTTACATAAAGTGTAAAACATTTTGGGGTGGTGTCTCACACATACTCCCTCCGTCCGCAATTTGTTTACAAATTGGGGTTTTCGAGGAGAAATATATCACTTTTTAAAATTATTTTATTTACAAATGGATATATTAATAAGAAATAAAAATTACATATTAAAAAACTACGTCAAAAGTTTTACAAAACAAGAGGTGAAAAGAATATTTTATTATACTCTCTCCGTCCTAAAATTAACTTCTCATTTGACTTTTCACGGTCTCCAATGCGATACTTTGACCATCAATATCTCAATTTTTATATAAATATATTTTATAAAAATTACATATTTCAAAATTATATTTCAAAATTATATTTCAAAATTATATTTCAAAATGAATCTATTGCTAATAAATTAATATGAAAATTCAATATATTTTTTTCTGTAATAAACAGTCAAAGTTTAAAAAGTTTAAAGTCAAACTAAAAAGTTAATTTTAGGACGAATGAAGTATCAAATACTTAACAAAATCACGAGAAGAGAGAAGAAAAATTGTAATCAAATGGAGAAGAGAGCATATACGGGGCATTTACTTAGAGTATATACTCTTGAGCCTTGACTTGATGTGGAATTGGAAAACATAAGGAAAGTTCGAAGAGGCTTACTTGGTACATCGGTACATGAACAAACCAGAATCCAACACCCGCATGGCCCACATCTCTTTCTTGCAGCATTGTGGGGCCACTTCATATGGGTATGGGTTGGATGGAGAGTAAAATTCAACTTTCTTTTTTCTTTTTTTATCATCACATTTTTATTATTCACTTTATTTTATCGTTTTTTTGTCTATTTGATAAAAACATAGTTTTATTTTTTCTCTTGAAAATGTTTTGATGTAATTTATAAAATGAATTGGAAATGCCTTCAGTTGAACTATGTAACACACTGCGCGAAGAAAATTTGAGGACAGAGTAAGTATTACTTCTGTCGCAAAATAAAGTTCACTTTAGAGTTTATTCTAGTTAGTTGAATTTATTTTCAATTTGATTTATTTTAAAATTAGGTGTAGAAATTAAAAATTAAATTTATATATTGAAGAAGTAACTATATATGTTGCTAATAACTCGCGCACGTTTAAATCATTTATTAATTAGAATGTTAATCTCAATTTTAAAACGTGCAGATTAACTGGAATTAATTACTCCCTATGATTTCTGTTTAAAAAAGGTTCAACCAGCTCGAATTGATTCATAAAAATCCGCAAAGCCGATGGGCGTTGCACAGTTGACAAAGACAATGAGTGCTAAAGGGGTTAGATCCGAATTCGATTCCTGACAACTGCACGGGGAGACAATTATGTTAAACATAGGACTTCTGCAAGTACCAGATGCAGACTTAATTCTTTTACCACCAATCTACAATCAAAGTCTAATTAATTTACCTCTTCTTAGTAACCGGTCAGATCCGGACTGAGAGGACTCTCCAGTATGAGGCTCATTTTTTATTATAAAAAACCCCCAAGAAATTGAGCAATTTGGAACAAGTCAAATCACGTCACTAACACTGAGCGTATAAAGCTAATTTTGTTACTCCATAAGATTCTGAAAAACAAACTTTACAAATTTTCTTTATTAAAGACTTTACAAATTTTCTATGCTACTCCTATGTAAAAATGTGCACATTGATTCTTATATTAAAAATTGAAGTAATTTAGTGTGTATATTTTTTTGAGGGTTAAAAATATAGTTTCACAGTGATCGTATATCTTTAGTGTCATGCACAATTCAGAGACTGTATTTGATGCGTCGTTTGTAAATTACATTCGATTTTTACTACAATTATAGTCTAAAGATGTAATTTTTCATCGGAATTCTAGTGCACAGTTAAAGTCATTATTGTTGTGTTGTCTATCTAACCGACATCAGAATACATCACCAGACATAAGATTGATGTCAAATTATATTTTTAGTCCTTAAATTAACATCAACGTAACATAAGGTCAAAAAGAATTATTTGTGAAAAAATATTCATAAAAGAATGATCACCGAGATAAATATGAAAACCTCATATTATAAAGAACCAATTATAAAAAATCTGTGAACTAAGTTGTACATTAGATAAGACGTAATATTCAATTTAGTCCCTATGTACTAAATTGGACATTAGGTTTTGAAAAACAAATGTCTTATATAATGTACTCTATCCGTTCTTAAGTATTTATAACATTTGCTTTTTCAGCTGTCGCAAAATTTTTTGTTTATTTCTACGTTTTCAATGGTTATTTGATAAAATAAAATATTTTTCACATATCTTATTTCAAATAACTTTTCATGTAATTTTTTGATATATAAATTTTATTTTTTATTTCTATACCAATATGTAAATAAAATGAATTGAAAAAAACTTAATATTTTATCTTAGAAATACAAGTCTGACAAATATTTAGGGACGGAAGGAGTACAATGTTTTTTTATATTAAAAAAACTACGGAGTAGTTTTCCTAGCATTTTTTTATTTTAAAATTTCCACTTATTTGGGTCCACCCAAAACACATGTACGCCACTTTCGTACTTGTACATAAGAGTCTACATACATTGAAATGTTCATAAGTTATGGCCCACGGTCAGGTGCACTCAAATGGAGTACTTCACGAATGTACTTTTCAGTTTTCACTTCAAAAATACGGAGTACATTTTTTTCAAAAAAAAATTGTCGAGTAATAAATTTCCCTTTTTAAAGATTTAATAAAAGCGTTTTCTTTTCTTTCATATGCATAAATCTCATCTAAATAGTTCACTTTTTACTACGTACTCCCTCCATCCAAAAATTATTTCTTTGTTCACTATTCATAGGATCAAATTTTATTTATTTTTTTGGCACTTGGTCTATTTTCATTACTTATTTGATAAAATAATATAGTTATGTCACTTCTAGTTTTGTAGATCTTTTGAAATAATTTTATATATATAATTTTTATTTTTTAAATTATATTTCATTTTTCATATAAAATAATTTGAAAATAGCCTCTGTCAAACATCCTAGCGCGCAACGAGAATATAATTTTTGGACGGAGGGAGTAATAAAGTTCACAAAAAAATACTTCGTCTGTCTAAAAAATGTTACGGAGTACTTTTTTTACATCTAAAAATTGTTCGCCACAATTTTATTTTTTCAGTAATAGATACTCCCTCCGTCTCCAATTAGATTACAATTTTTTTTCTTTCCCCTTGATAACTTTTGTTTGTTTGCGCGATTTAATTAAGTACTTGATAAAATAAAATATTCTTGACACCTCTTGTTTTATAAAACTTTTGACATATTTTTTTAATGTGCAATTTTTATTTCTTATCGATATATCGATTTATATATAAAATAATTTCAAAAAGTGCGATATTTCTCCTCGTAAACCCTAATTTATAATCAAATTGGGGACGGAGGGAGTATGTGTCTCGCAAAATATTTCTTACATTTAAACGAACTCTAACTATAAGTTTTTTTATTCTAAAGTTAAAATTCAAACTGGATAAAATTTATTGGGATAGGAGTAGAAAATGAGTTAAAATTGGGTGGGGAGGAGATATGAAGTGGGATTAGAATTTAATGGCTAGCTTTCACTAGACCCACCCACCCATGACCCAACCAAAAGGGAAATACGGACGAGGGATTCATTGGATGCTCCATCCGTCAGTATTTGTCTACATTTGACTTTTTTTTGTTAAAATTTATAAAACTAAATAAAAATGATATTAGATATTGGTACAACAATAGTTTTATTAGATTTCTTATACAAGATGTTTTCAAAATATTATTTTATCTAATTAATATATAATATATATTTTTTAATTATAGGTCAAAGGTTCAAAATGATTAACTGAAAAAAAATCAAAAATAGACAAATATTCTGGAACGAAGGTAATATCTTTCTCTGTTCTTATCCTATTTTGAGGGATGTTCTTAAAAATCAAACCCGATGTCGATCCGAACATGCAGGGGGATCAAGGACTAACCGTCCAAACCAGTGAACTTGAGTCAATGATCCGATCAACTATAATAATATTATATATATTAATGTAAATATTTTTAGTTGATAAAAGCATTTGCATTTGGGTTTCTTTTTTTCTATGTAGTTTCCAATTCATTGTTCATATTCTTTCACACTTTCTATTTTTAATATAATTAGTACTCCGTAGATTTGTTTATTTTTGAAGGTGATAATGTTTTTTAGATATAAAATGAACAATGTTTATTTTTTATTCTGAATTATTTTAAAAGTTTATAGAATAGGTGCACTACACAAGCATATTCTCTTTTACAAATAGTTTGTTTTTAAAAAAAAATACACACAACTCTACATTACAAAGACCATGTATACAGTTTTGCATGATTTTAAAAACAAAGTGTTCGGTAGATTAGGTGGTTAAGTGTTGGAATGTTTGAATAGCATTACTGCACTACTGGTCCGAGGGGTTGGACCGGCCGATCCGGTTCTAACAACACTCATTTTAAGTTGTAAAGATTGCCCTTTTTTTATTTTAGGAAAAATTCACACACACACACACATATATATATTTGATGAGTTGGGACATCCTGGGGCATCTCGTGTGTATTGCCGGCGCATTTGCTTGGAAGAGGTGGTTCGGGCTCTCCGCGTGATGCGTAATGGGAGAGCTGTGGGACCAGATGAGATTCCAGTGGAGTTTTGGAAGCATGCAGGTCGTGATGCGTGGGTTTGGTTAACCAAACTCTTCAATGTTATCCTCCGGACAGCATGGATGCCTGATGAGTGGAGGGAGAGTCTCTTGGTCCCTCTGTTTAAAGGCAAAGGTGACATTCAGAGCTGCGAGAATTACAGAGGCATCAAACTGCTTAGCCACACCATGAAGGTTTGGGAGCGAGTTATCGAGTATAGGGTGCGGAAAGAGGTTTGCATCTCGGAGAACCAGTTTGGTTTCATGCCTGGCAGATCGACTACAGAGG